AAGAACAGTATGCCATAGACGCCAGGTCCCTTGAAACAGCAAGGATGGACCGGCTCCCGGAAGCTTTGTAATATAACCTATCTATTTTGTAAATTCGTATTTAACGGGACTGTTCATTTTGCAAATTTATGGTGTTGATGTCAGAATTTCCTAGAGCTAAGTGATATGTTTTGGGGTGTTGTTGGTTTTTTGTTTTGTTTTTTTTGCATAGTTTTCCAAAGTAAGATCTAGAAAAATAAAAGCTGTTACAGAATTAGAGTCCTTTGGCCTGTGAGTGGTATGAGTAGAGGAGACTTAGTCTACAAGCTTATCACAGGAATGAAACAGGAGTAAAGGTAACCCTCCACCTGGTTATTTCTTAAATTACAGGAAAATTCGTGTAAGAAGTGCTGTAGAACAGTGGCTGGAAAATGTAGAGAAGAGCATGTTTGATGTGCTAAAAAAGTAAGTACAATGGTCAGATCCTAATATATGTGTGTGTATATATGTGTGTGTGTGTGTGTGTGTGTGTGTGTGTGTGTGTGTGTGTATATATATATATATATATATAGAGAGAGAGAGAGAGAGAGAGACTTGGTTAATTATCTACTAATCTAAGTGGGAACTAGACAGAGAAATGCATGAAGTGAAATCCTATTGGGTCATGTTGATAAACTTCAGCTTGAGGATGTGACCACGGACAGCATTCAGTATTTGTGTACTTTGAGATTCTTAAGGGTCTGAACACTGGCCGGATTGGCTGCTTCCCTGAGACCTGGTGCCCAGGAGGCCTCGGGGAACAGCCCCTTCATTTCTGTGCGTCTCTGTCCCATTTCTGCTCCCTGGCATCATTTACTTGGTCTAGTCTTTTTTAAAATGTGTTTTTATTACTGATTTCAGAGAGAGGAAGGGAGAGGGAGAGAGCGAAACATCAATGATGAGAGAGAATCACTGACCAGCTGCCCCCTACACGTCACCCCCCCACACACACACACACTGAGGATCAAGCCTGTAACCTAGCCTGTGCCCTGACCAGGAATCGAACCGCGACCTCCTGGTTCATGGGTCGACGCTGAACCACTGAGCCACACCGGCTGGGCTACTTGGTTTAGTCTTTTTAATGTTCTCCTTTCTATAGTTTAATCTGTCATTGCAATCTGTGTAGAATAAAGGCAGAGCTTCAGTGTGTGCGCATCTAAATTGGACTAGAACAGTCTTTCTACATTTCTACCTCTTTACTGTTGGTTATGGGAAAGCCACTGGTTCTGAAGTTTTAACAGGTTGCGGACCGGTAGTTTCATTGCTAGCTTTACCCAGTGGCCGGATAAGTCTCTATTGAACGAGGTCAAAAAACGTTTTACATAAATGTTAAAGGCACGCTTTACAATTAAATACCCGTTGCATTTTGAAGTTATGTATGATGTGCTCTTACAAGCTAATATCTTTTTAAAGTATGATATTTTGTAAAATACTGTGTACTATGGAACGAGAATTCTCATGATCCGTCCGCAATGTTTAATATCGATATTTAGTAATATTATGCCAACACCACCACAGGCTTTCCGGAGGAGAGCAGGTTACCATTTACCTGCAGAAATAACCACTGGGCTTTCCTTTGCTCCACTTCTGACCCCTGGTGATGTGAGAGGACCGGGTCTCATTCCACGTGAGGCGGGGAGGGTGCTTCTTTCTGTAGGCAGGGACCCCCCAAAATGCATCTGGGCATTTGAGAGCCATGCAGATTTTCAATGGCTGGTTAGACAATCTTATCATTTGCTAATGAGGATAGTTCTCTCTCTGTCTTTACAGTTTTTTTTTAAAAATGTCCTTTCCTTTCGATGTTGTCTAGGGTGACAAATTTTGTACAGTGTGGAAAAGCACAGATGCCAGTGAGCAGAAACGGTTGCTTCTAGTTTTATTGGGAAAGATGCTCGCGATTCGCCTTCAGTTATGATGCTCAGGTTTCTGGAAACTGCGCCTTATCCCCGTCTCTAATAATTAAAGACGTTCAGCTGCCTCAAATGACTTCTGTGAATCTACTGAGAAACTCAAATGCAGTTTCATCTTTAATTTGTGGGTATCAGGAATTACATGCATACATTTCCTTAGGGTGAACTTTTCTTGATATTCTTATTCCCTTTTGGGTCTACTCACTTTCTTAGGCAACTATGCGATCATGTCCTACTTTTTCCGTGCATTTGCCAATTTCTTTTTCCTTCTAACACCTGTTATATCTTTTGCTGTGTTGTTACATGCAAACCTTCTTAGTAGAGTGTACCTTCAGTTAGCAGTTGCATTTTGAAGTTATGTATGATGTGCTCTTACAAGCTAATATCTTTTTAAAGTATGATATTTTGTAAAATACTGTGTACTATGGAACGAGAATTCTCATGATCCGTCCGCAATGTTTAATATCGATATTTAGTAATATTATGCCAACACCACCACAGGCTTTCCGGAGGAGAGCAGGTTACCATTTACCTGCAGAAATAACCACTGGGCTTTCCTTTGCTCCACTTCTGACCCCTGGTGATGTGAGAGGACCGGGTCTCATTCCACGTGAGGCGGGGAGGGTGCTTCTTTCTGTAGGCAGGGACCCCCCAAAATGCATCTGGGCATTTGAGAGCCATGCAGATTTTCAATGGCTGGTTAGACAATCTTATCATTTGCTAATGAGGATAGTTCTCTCTCTGTCTTTACAGTTTTTTTTTAAAAATGTCCTTTCCTTTCGATGTTGTCTAGGGTGACAAATTTTGTACAGTGTGGAAAAGCACAGATGCCAGTGAGCAGAAACGGTTGCTTCTAGTTTTATTGGGAAAGCTGCTCGCGATTCGCCTTCAGTTATGATGCACAGGTTTCTGGAAACTGCGCCTTATCGCCGTCTCTAATAATTAAAGATGTTCAGCTGCCTCAAATGACTTCTGTGAATCTACTGAGAAACTCAAATGCAGTTTCATCTTTAATTTGTGGGTATCAGGAATTACATGCATACATTTCCTTAGGGTGAACTTTTCTTGATATTCTTAATTCCCTTTTGGGTCTACTCACTTTCTTAGGCAACTGTGCGATCATGTCCTACTTTTTCCGTGCATTTGCCAATTTCTTTTTCCTTCTAACACCTGTTATATCTTTTGCTGTGTTGTTACATGCAAACCTTCTTAGTAGAGTGTACCTTCAGTCAGCACCTCGGTGTTTGCACCAGTTAATATTTTTTATTACATGCTATTTGTTGAATAGCTTGTCACAGCTGTTTCCATGATCAGAAGACATTTGTATCACAGTGTTATTTTGAACATTTCTGTGTCGTGTTGTTGTTCCGTGAATCAAGTATAAAAATGGATTTTGATTTTTTGCTTTTACTTGGTTTTACTTTTATTCACATCGAAGTGTTTGCTGTCCGTTCTGGTCGGTCGGGACGCCCCGAAGGCCACTCTCTGCCCCGGCTCGGTCTTGTGTGTACTTGGCCGCCCGTGCCCTTGGGTGGTACGGCCTGGATTCCTCTCCTCGTGCGTCCACTTGCGTGGGGCAAACATGAGGCTCCCCCCGTGCCTCCCTAGTTTGGGCAAAATCTATGTTCCTTTTACCGAAAGCCACAGCTTGGGACAGGTGGTGCCTCTCTCTGGTGTCTCCAGCCCTCACCAAGTTCCAGCGACTTCGTCCCCTGGCCCCGTTGGCCCTGAGGGCGGTAACACTGCCCCTGCTGCTAGACCCGGTGTCCACCATCCCTGCGGGTCCCCTAACCCTGCCCTCACCCCCGAGGGTCCCTTTAAACTCTCTTCCGGAGACCCTTTCAATGTGCCGTGTCCTGCCGTTTCTTTAGATTTTATTTTGATCACCCTCACACTTGGACTCACGTTTGCTATCGTACGGCGTGATTTCCAATGGGGCTTTGGGTTTGCCCCCATTGGAAACGTGCAGATGATGCTAACGAGGAATTTAAGGGATATGAAGTAGGCACGAATCAAGGCTCTCTGGGTGCTATTTGGACCCATACATATACCTAAAATTGGAACAAAACAAAACAAAAAAAATCAGAGTTCCTGGAGGAAAATCCCCCTGTGATCTTGTCCTATTTGCTCACTAACTGGCCGCGATCAATGACCAGGTGTAAGTAATGGAAATGCATTTTTCTGTTGACAGATTTGTGAAGGAAGGGATCGAGGAATGGAGCCGCCAGCATTTTTCCAGCTGGGTGGTGTCTCACCCAGGACAAGTGGTGCTCACCGTGGTAAGTCAGCGCTGCACCCATCTTCAAGGAGGGCCTGGGGGCCACACCGCCAGGGAAGCACAGAGGTGGGGATGAGCCATCAGGCAGGGCACGCGTGTACGTCACTGACCCTGAAATGCATCTGGAAAGAAGATATACAGATGGGTGGACAGATGGACAGCTAGGTGATAAAGCAAACACCCGCACAGCAAACGGTTAACTGTAGAACGCAGCTGGTGGGCGTTTGGAATTCATCTTATAATCCCTTTAAGTTTTCCAGTTTAAACTTTGCACAGTAAAATCTTGAATAAAAATAGGCCCTGCATTATCTTCCTAGGGACACCACGCTCTTGT